TGTGACATACCGGTTTAAGAAGGAGGATGTAATATAGCAGGCTAAACAGGAGGATGTAATATAGCAGTCTAAATAGAAGGATGTAACATACCGGTTTAGGTAGGAGGATGTAAAATACCGGTCTAAGTAGGAGGATGTAACATACCAGGCTAAGTAGGAGGATGTAATATAGCAGGCTAAATAGAAGGATGTAACATACCAGGCTAAACAGGAGGATGTAACATACCAGGCTAATTAGGAGGATGTAATATAGCAGTCTAAATATACGGATGTAACATACCAGGCTAATTAGGAGGATGTAATATAGCAGTCTAAATATAAGGATGTAACATACCAGGCTAAGTAGGAGGATGTAACAACTTTATTAAACTTAACAAAACCTTTGCCAAGTGCACTTTGAGAAAAAAGTAAAAGTCAGTTTGGATAAAATCAGTAACGTCATCATACTTATTACATATCGAAATGAATGCCATATGATATTGTGATATCATGATATTGTGATACAAGCCTCAGGCATCCAAAAATAATCAGACATATATGTTTGCATGAAAAAAGAAAAAACTATAGCAATTTTTAAAATCCTTTTCGAGCCTTCCCGTTTCTACCATTCAACGTTATCCTTATTATTGGAGAATTTACGTCCTGTGTAAAACCATTTTCATTTCCTGTTACCTTAACAAAGTATGCTATGGAAATCGATCGGAAACGAAAATATTTTTTATTTCCTCCTTTCGATCTCCACCGGTTCAAGAGAAAACAAAATTGAATCAATCAGTTTTCTCTTTGAACTCACCTTTTCACGTATAAACTACATGGAATATTTCATTACACAAAAGGAGTGGTGGGAAAACCCTAAACAAGATCTTTACATCAACCTGACTTTAACCCCTAATAACTTTTACTTTGAAGAATGGTTGTTGTTGTTGTTGTTTTTTTATGAAAGTTTTTTTGAACCCTCTCTTGATTTAGAAAGAACTCTTCTGGGCTGTAGGTATGTGATATGATATAAACCGGAGTTACTGATTTTGTTCACGAGACTTATTGACCAACAAAATACCAAGAAACTTCATAAGTTAAAACTGTAAAAAAATGATCATGTCTTTTTTTTTTATGATGTTTCAAAAGGTTGGGAACCAGAGGAAACAATGTGTCGAAAAATACCTTTGTTACAATAGATTTTAGGATAAACTTTACATTGTTTATTATATATATATAACATTTTATAAACATTGTTACTATGTCACTATGTTAGTGTGTAGTGGTGATACAGGGATGATGTATAACAACGGTATTAAATAATTTGTACTAACAATTAAATCAACATAACATTGAACGGTATTAAATTATTTGTACTAACAATGAAATCAATATAACACTGGACGGTAAATAACGGTATTAAATTATTTGTACTAACAATGAAATCAATATAACACTGGACGGTAAATAACGGTATTAAATTATTTGTACTAACAATGAAATCAACATAACATTGGACGGTAAATAACGGTATTAAATTATTTGTACTAACAGTGAAATCAACATAACACTGGACGATAAATAACGGTATTAAATTATTTGTTCTAATAACACTATCTTTATTTCTGCATCTTTTCTCTTTGTTTATGACATTCCAAATTTGAACATAAAACAAGAAGTTAATGTTCATAAACTTGCAGTGAATAACATGACACCACCTTTCACTTTACTCGTGTGTGTGTTTATACATAATCACAATAAAACTGGCCACATTAGAGCCGAGCTGGGACTACGTGTGGTCTATACAACCAGGATATAGATGTATAGATGTGGTGAATAACAAAGAGATTGGGTCATAATAAAAACGATTATTTCTCTAGGCTATGAGAGTAGAACAGTTTAAATATTTTTTATGAAAATATAACATTTATCTTAAAAACGAATATAATTACAACACGTTTCAAATTGCGTCTGTCGACGTTTTTACATGATCGTAGCAAGCCCATCTTTGTAGTTAGAGTTACACGAAGATAAGGTTTTTCCCTACCATTAAGACAAGATATGCTTTTACACCATATACGTATATAGTTCATTTGCATTACGAGAAACTGAAGTCTTACACTAGAGTTTTTAGCTCTATGAGAATCTGAAGCCATACAAGAAGTGCAGGGTAAACGTGGGTTGTGTCTTCTAGGTATTATTAAGCTTCCATTCTACTTCAGCTCTTGAACCGGAATAACAAAATAACAACAAACTGAAGGGTTGTTTCCTGGTAACGTTGATCCCGCATTATAAAAGATTAAACTCCTTTTTTTTCCCTCATTGGAATCATAGGTAAAGCTTTGCTTATTTTGACGTTACGGTTTGGTATTGCAAGAAAAACAGTTTTACAGGCTAAGGCAAAACTAATTCATATGATATGTCTATTCGGGAATTTAATCCTGAGAATGTTATAGAATTTCAAGACCACATAGAGACACTGTAGAATTAACCCACAGCCAATCAGAGCTCGATATATATATATAGATGCGCGTGCCTTACTTTCTATCCTCTAAAGATGGTAATTACTGAAACAAAACAAAGAAATTTGATACCATATAACACGTGTTCAGGCTTAGTGTGTTCTGACATCAACTCTTATAGATTTTATAGTCTTCTGCTTCAGAAATAGAAAATACTCATCTTGTTCCCCGCTTTCCTCATTTTGTAGTTATGTGTAATGGGCATTGAAGATGTAAAAAAGCTTTAAATGTTGTTATTTGTTTTCTACATCACCTTATTTGAAATTCAAAAATCTATTTTTTTTATACTGAATTGTAGCCATGTTGTGTTTTCTGGTGCTTCTAGCATATTTTTAGTTTCATGGAAGCCATTTGTAAGAAACTTAAAAACAATGGACATTCTTTGATCACTCAATCAATGATGGTGTTATTCCCAGGGTCGAGGGCCAACGACAATGTTCTCTACTCTTCCCTGCCAGCATCAGCCATTCTAATACAAGCTTTTCATCTTCAGTCAATTTCTAATGTCATCAAGTGGGTCTCGTTCTTCTTCCTTCGATCTTACTCATCAGAATCTTCCTTCACATCTAATCGCATGCTCAAAATAACACGTCTTCCGTTCCTACGTAGTCTTTCGACATTCTAATATTTCAGTGTTCGTTTATTTCATCGCTAAACTCTAACACTGTGAAGTTTTGATTCATCACTAAACTCTGACACTGTGAAGTTTTATTTCATCGCTAAACTCTAACACTGTGAAGTTTTGATTCATCACTAAACTCTGACACTGTGAAGTTTTATTTCATCGCTAAACTCTAACACTGTGGAGTTTTATTTCATCACTAAACTCTAACACTGTGAAGTCTTATTTCATCACTAAACTCTAACACTGTGAAGTCTTATTTCATCACTAAACTCTGACACTGTGAAGTCTTATTTCATCACTAAACTCTGACACTGTGAAGTCTTATTTCATCACTAAACTCTGACATTGTAAACCATTACATATGTTTACCAAAATAGTTTTTCAACATTTTTATGAACCAAACACTTTTTTATCTACCGTCATATCAGGTTTTGTACTTGAGTTTTAGCAATTAACACATATTTATATCACGTGATCTGAAATACAAATAATGTGTTATATTTAATGGTGTATTACAATCTCGACTCATTTAACACCTTGAAGTGAATCACATTGTTCAAAATGCCCCAATGTGTTCATGGAAAGTGGCTGGACTTCAAAGAAAGTCCACTCATTTAGAGTGCCATCAGAGTAATGGAAGGCAACCATTCAGAACAGACCATTGCTAGTTGGCAACAACTATTTCATGAAGTCTGTAATATAATATGTAACGAAGCAGACCGTGATGTGTAGTAAATGCAGCTGGCTGTTATTCGTCGGTTCTAAGTCACTGCCGTACTAGAGAGTACCTACTTTGATACTGAATCAGATGTTCGCAGCTACAACTGGATGTCTGTCAGTGTAAAGATTGCTAAAAATATATTTCATAACAACGGACTTTTTATATGCCAGACGACCAAGGAGATGCTTTCTTTTCACATCTAAACTCAAGATAGCAACCACTCAGCGGACCAACAACTCGTGGACCAATATCATCAAGATAGCAACCACTCAGTGGACCAATATCATCAAGATAGCAACCATTCAGTGGACCAACAACTCGTGGACCAATATCATCAAGATAGCAACCATTCAGTGGACCAACAACTCGTGGACCAATATCATCAAGATAGATCAAGATAGTAACCATTCACTATCTTGATGATATTGGTCCACCAACCGTTCAGTGGACCAACAACTCGTGGACCAATATCATCAAGATAGCAACATTTTAAAATGATAAATGTACCGACCTCTGCACTCTTAAAAAATAGTATCTTAATGTCAAAAATTATTGGGACACACGGAGAATTATCAAATGCCAGATCTGCATAAAAATTTATCTATGGTTTCAAGATGCTTGAGCTTAATTTAAGGTTTCAATATGCTTGAGCTTAATTTAAGGTTTCAATATGCTGGAGTTAAACTTAATGTTTCAAGATGCTAGAGCTCAACTTATGGTTTCAAGGTGATAGAGCTTAATTTAAGGTTTCAAGATGCTGGATCTTAACTTAATGTTTCAATATGCTGGATCTTAACTTATGGTTTCAAGATGCTGGATCTTAACTTAATGTTTCAATATGCTAGAGCTCAACTTATGGTTTCAAGATGCTAGAGCTTAATTTGAGGTTTCAAGATGCTGGATCTTAACTTATGGTTTCAAGATGCTAGAGCTTAGCTTAAGGTTTCAATATCCTGGAGCTTAACCTAAGGTTTCAGGATGCTAGATCTTACCTGCTAAAATGTTAAAAACATCAAAGGAGCTACTTATACTTATAAAAATTGATTATGATGGAAAATTTGTTATTTTAAAATATAATAAAGTCCCCAAGTTATAGGAAGTAACAATACAAAATGTTTATTCTCGTGTCGAACCTCGAACCCTGAGAGACACCTACCTCTACGTGGCTGACGCAGCTAAGTTGTTCTGCTGTTCCTACGAGACCAGAACTTAGTGAACACTGACAAACTTCACCATCTAGTTGCTGTTGTATGGAACGAAACGAGATAAGCTACCGTCAACCCGAGCGCCGTCTCTCGTACTTCTCTAGCTGTTAGCTGTAAAACATGACAAACATTGCCGCTCTCGTGCACTAACCGGGCTTTCCGCGAAAAACCTGAGAGATGATTGGCTGCGAGGCCTGCTTTGGTACTTTTATTGGTTCGATCACAGCTCACGTTAGCGTTGCCGCAAAGCTTAATATGGTTTTATATAGAAATAAACATAACAATACACAGCTCTATTCGCCGTCACTCTGAGGGCTTAAAAGAACTTATAATAAGTACCAGTGCTAATAAAGTCAAGTTTAGTGTGTATTGTTAGGTCAGTTTTATACCTCGTGTTGTTCAACATTCGAGTTCAATATTAAACTTTCTTTAAACGTTTTTCTCCAATCAGCTACACTCCAATTTATTTACATCATAATAAGTGCTGTTTATTTTCTCAGATTCCACGATCAAAATCGAATTTCAGTACCCGCTGTGGGCAGAGTACAGACAACACATCTTATAGCTTTGCGCATATTAACAAACACTATATACGGTTCGGTGTATGGCTCCCTCTAGTTGCAAGAAAACCTAACGAAAATTTAATTAGTTTATTAAGGTGTTTTTCGTGAGAGTTTACCAGTCATCGTTCTGCTTTTTTTTCCATAAGGACAACTCATAATGGCATACAACACTAAATTAACATGTTAATGTAAATATATGAAATTAACATGACTCTTTCGGGTGTTTGTTAGGATAAAAACAAAATGAACCGGACAACTGTTACAAAATGGGACAACTGTCACAAAATGTTACGACTGTTACAAACTGGGACAACTGTCACAAAATGTTACGACTGTTACAAACTGGGACAACTGTTACAAACTGGGACAACTGTCACAAAATGTTACGACTGTTACAAACTGGGACAACTGTTACAAAATGTTACGACTGTTACAAACTGGGACAAATTAAGCACTAAACTGTTAGAGAATCTTTAAGAGTTACATAACAGATGTAGAAGTGGGCAAACTTCATTAACATAACTGTTTGTGTTTACAGATGTAGAAGTGGACAAACTTCATTAACATAACTGTTTGTGTTTACAGATGTAGAAGTGGACAAACTTCATTAACATAACTGTTTGTGTTTACAGATGTAGAAGTGGACAAACTTCATTAACATAACTGTTTGTGTTTACAGATGTAGAAGTGGACAAACTTCATTAATATAACTGTTTGTTTTGTCTCTAATAACGTTTCACGTAATGTGTCTGATAAACTGGACTCATCATGATAACATACGTTAGACACCCGCATATTTATTATGCACAACACGATCAGAACTTGGTTAAACCTATCAATTACCAATATATATATAGGAAACATTATCAGAACTTGGTTAAAA